GCACAAATGAACTTAAAACTAAAATACACATCACATAAATTCTTAGAAGCAAAAGACCATTTTGTGCTTATATTTGTTTATATACTTATTTCCTAAATATTTTGATTTTATCTTTCTTTAAGCTAAACTTTTAATTCCTGCCCACTATTTGACTTACCTAAACATGAAAGAGAATATAGTAATACAATAAAGAGTTGACTATTGAATATATGTAAACACATGCTTAAGGAAAATATTAACAATTGTTTGGTAATTAAGCAAACGTTCTATTCTATTTCCCCCTTAGTCTATTTTGTCAGTAATGCTTATCACCCATGATTTCCCTTTCCAATTTAAAACTTTCAAAAAATACTGAAACTTAGAAATGTCTAGAACAGGGCTTCACAAGACCTGAATTTTTAAAAAGTCGGTTCAATCCTCACAGAATCAGTACTATTTGAAAAGCTATGTGAAAATGAGAAGTGGCTTTTATTTCCTTTATTTTTTAATTTTTTTAATTATTTTTTCTTGTCAGTCTTGGGGTTTGAACTCAGGGCCTGGGCTCTGTCCCTCAGCTCTTCAGCTCAAGTGCAGAGCTCTACCACTTGAGCCACAGCACTGCTTCTGGCTTTTTCTATTTATGTGGTGCTGAGGAATCAAACCCAGGGCTTCATGCTTGCTAGGCAAGCACTCTATCACTGAGCCACATTCCCAGCCCTATTTCCTTTATTTTTAAGAGCCAAAGCAACACATAATTTAAGGAATTTATCAAAGGTTTAGTAAAGTAGCTTTCAGAGCCATGCCTTTGGATTTAGAGATTAGAGTCTCTAAAGTCTCTAAGCTAGCCCTGGCTAGCTTCAAACCTCAATCCTCAACTCTCAGCCCCTTAAGTAGCTAGAATTATAGGCATGAGCCACCTGCGCCTGTTTCTGTTTCTTTCTTTTCAAATTTTTGTTTGTTAAAATGCTATTCTTCAGGAGGCTGAGATCTGAGGATCACAGTTCAAAGCCAGCCCAGGCAGGAAAGTCCATGAGACTCATCTCTAATTAACCACCAGAAAACTGAAAGTGATGCTGTGGCTGAAGTTGTAGAGTACTAAGCTTGAGCTGAAGAGCTAAGGGACAGCGCCCAGGCCCAGAGTTCAAGCCCCACACCCAACCAAAACCAAACCAAACCAAAACAAAAAACTGCTATTCTTGATTTTATGACCCATTAATGGTCTACAATTTAGTTTGAAGATCTCCACGGTACATGTAGATCAGTACTTTTTTAATATTAAAAAAAATTATCTTTAATTGTACAAAATGGTTTCAGTTCAACATGGCAATTTATGAATATCTTGTCACCCTTCCATCATCCTGCCCCACCCTACCCCCCAATCTATCCCTATCACTCTCTGGTATTAAATGCTTGGCCTAGAAAAGATTTAGCAGCATTTGTTTATAAGATCATAGAATCAAATATAATAAGTGAACATCTGTACTTTATAGGTTTGTATTATTAATTCTCTTGGATATAGGTTAAATTTTTAGTAGAAATTTCTTAGTTCCTAAGTTGATTGTGTTAGGTACATAATTTCTTGACTGAGTCTTATAAGGTAAGTTATAGTCAAGCTGAATTTTGAAATTATTATAAACGAACCTTGCCAATATTTAGATTTGGAAAACAATGTCTTGGTTTCACAGGTGAAAAGGGTGAATCCTTTGTGAAAGGAAATTTTGGCATAAAGGAATAGTTTTGATGAGGTTTTAACTTTTCAAGTTATTACCAGCTGAAGTTATAATCATATTGGAATTAGAAATATAGCACTTTTCTACCTGAGGTTAAAGTAAAACCTTAAAACTCTATGAAGGATAATGCTGAAAATGGCTATTATATGATTCTCTACTGCTTCAGAAAATATATAGTATTTATGATAATGTATTTTACTTTGCCTTGTTTCATTTGTTCATATGAATATATTGCCTAATAAAATTATTGTAATACTTTGTATTTAATTTATGCAAGCATTCAAGTAAAAATTTATTTAAGGTTATACAGTAGCATAAATATGAATTAAAGAGCTGTCATGGAAACTAGCAAATTGTAATACACAAGAAGTAGTAGAGCTGGGCGCTGGTGGCTCATGCCTGTAATCCTAGATGCTCAGGAGGCTGAGATCTGAGGATCACAGTTCAGAGCCAGCCCAGGCAGGAAAATCCCTGAGACACTTATCTCCAATAAACCATGAGAAAACTGGAAGTGGCACACTGTGGGTCAAGTTGCGCTAGCCTTGAGCTGAAGAGCTGAGGGACAGCGTCCAAGCCCAGAGTTCAAGCCCCACAACTGACAAAAAAAAAAAAAAAAGCCCGGTGCCGGTGGCTCAGGCCTGTAATCCTAGCTACTCAGGAGGCTGAGATCTGAGGATCACCATTCAAAACCAGACGGGGCAGGAAAGTCCCTGAGACTCTTATCTCCAATAAACTAGTAGAAAACTAGAAGTAGTGCTGTGGCTCAAGTGGTAGAGTGCTTGCCTTGAGCTGAAGAGCTGAGGGACAACGCCAAAGCCCAAAGTTCAAGCCCCACGACTGACCAAAAAATAAAAAGAAGTAGTAGACACAAGTTAAAGGATGGGGAGCCATTGAAGAGAAGATACCTTGCTGAAGAAAAAGAACTTTATCTGCATCTTGCATCTTCCCTGGTGCTCACGGTGGGGGAGGGGCTGTGGGGGAGATGCATTTCTAACTACATGTAGATCAGAATGGATAAATGAGGCTTCCAGGCTTACAAAGGCAGCATGGGTCTTCTGGAGGTGAGATCTGAGGATCTTGGTTCAAAGCCAGTCCAGGCAGATACATCAAAGAAAATCTTAATTCAATTAACCACCTGAAAGCTGGAAGTGGAGGTGTGGCTCAAGTGATAGAGCACTAGAAAAATCAAATGGGAGCTCATGGCCCTGAGCCCTAGTACCAGAACAAAGTTTGAGTTTGAGCCCTAGTACCAGAACAAAGAGCAAAGAAAGGCAGCATGTGCTGGGTCAGTTGGGGTCTTCTGAAACCTCTGATTCAGTTGAGAGCTTAGGACAATACAATCAGAACTCACTTGACTCCAGGCACCGGTGGCTCAGGCCTGTACTCCTAGCTACTCAGGAGGCTGAGATCTGAGGATTGCCGGTCAAAGCCAGCCTGGCCAGGAAAGTCCATGAGACTCTTAAAGTCCAATTTTCTGGTGAGAAAACTGCAAGTGGCGCTGTGGCTCAAGTGGTAGAGTGCTTGCCTTGAGCGGAAGAGCTCTGGGACAGCTCTCAGGCCTAGAGTTCGAGCCCCAAAACTGACAAAAAAAAAACAACTCACCTGACATTGACAAATTAATAAGTAGGAAATAAATGTGAATAAATATGTGAATAAATAAATAAGCATGTTAGATATTGCTTTAAAATATTTAAGAATAAATTAGCATTGTTTTAAATAAATGGGGTTTTCTGGAATATGTATTATTACTTCATAAGACAACAGCATTATTTGCCATTATGTATGTAAAACATTAAATCTCAGGATTCACATATTTCTCATAGTTCATATATTTCCTATAAATCCATATATGTCTCATTTCTAACTCTTAAGATTTTTGCCTTATTAATAGAAAATGTGAAGATCTCTCATATGTAACTTAGGTTGATTATGATCATTATTTTACTATATATTTCAAAGTATCACAGCCCACACCTAGAAGGAAGAAAACTTTTACTTGTCAGTTACCTATCAGTAAAGCCAAACAAAAATATTTAATGACCTAATTCTATGTGGTCTATGTGCTAGCAATTTTAATAGTCATTTTTATATAGGATTAATGTTCCTAGGTTAAAAAAAATTGAGCAATGGATAAGTGAAATTTTTTGAGAACATGGGAAAACACTGGGCCTAATGTGGGTATTAGGAACACTGGGTGTGATGTAGAAAGAAAAAGAGTGGAAGAAACAAAATAGGATGACAGTAGCCAATGAGCTGGGAAAGAGCCACCTCCTCTCACTATAACTGCTAACCTGTCGTTATTGCTTCTTGAGGTATGTATTAAGATTAATGTCCTACAGTGAAATGGAAATCTCTATGCAAAAATATTTTTTTCTGAGCCAGGTGCCGGTGGCTCATGCCTGTAATCCTAGCTACTCAGGAGGCTGAGATCTGAGGATCGCAGTTCAAAGCCAGCCCGGGCAGGAAAGACTGTGAGACTCCTATCTCTAATAAACCACCAGAAAACCAGAAGTGGCACTGTAGCTCAAGTGGTAGAGCGCTCGCCTTGAGCTGAAGAGCTGAGGGACAGCGCCCAGGCCCAGAGTTCAAGCCCCACGACCGACAAAAAAAAAAAAAAATTTTCCAAGTGTGATACTACATACTTGTAATCTCAGTACTCAAGAGGCTGCAGCAGGAGGATCACAGGAGACCCTGTCTCAAAAAAAAAAGATTTTTATGCAGTTAATGTGCTCAGTACGATAATATATCAATAAATAGTTGAATAAATAAAATCACCATAACTTGGGATGTTGGCAATTGTTTCACTTTGGAAACAAGTCAAAATAGTCACATGGCTAGGTTTATTTGTTTTCTACTGTAATGTGGTTCTCAGTTTTATTCTTCTTAGTCTGGCAAGAGTGTATCAGTTGGTCAACTTGCAATTCTCCACCTACAAGCCTCTATTTTAAATAGCTAGACACTGAAAAGGACATTTCATGTTATCTTTTAATAGTAATATTATTCTTTAAGAGTGTTTAAAATAATTCTTGGGCATATTTTGAAACAGAGTGAGGGTTGAGAAGCTAATATTTTGGTAACTCTGATTTGTTAGAAGGGAAACTCCAGGGGAAATTTTATGTATGGACATACATAGTATACAGTATAAGCATAATTTGGAACCGTGTCTTTCAAAATGTAAGAAAGGGAAGAGGAAGGGGAGTAACAGCTGAATGTTGCTATATGCTAGACACTGTCATAGGTTAAAGGGCTTGTTGTGAGTATGAAATGAGATAATGTATCCCCGTTTTACAGATGAGGAAGCTGAGCTTGCCCCAAGTCACATGGCTGGTAAGTGGCAGAGCTGGACTAGAACCAGACTCCAAATCCCATGCTTTTTCTGCTGTTCCATGTTTAAGGCTGGCAAAGAGAGAGGTATGAAGTCAACACCCAAAATTGAGAGTTGGAGGAGTTTCTGTTCCCAAGAAATCTTTGATACCAAAATCCACAATTTATTTTCCATGTCAGGATGTAGAAGGTGGGAAACACATTATAATTAAAACCCTTTGCTTCTAAAAAGGCCATGTAAGCCTGATACCAATAGTTCATGTCTATAATCCTAGCATTTCAGGAAGCTGATATCTGAGGATCATGGTTCAAAGTCAGTTTGGGCAGGAAAGTCTGTGAAACTCTTATCTCCAGTTAATCTCTCTCTCTCTTTCACACACACACACACACACACACACACACACACACACACACACACACAAGGATAGAAGTGGAGCTGTGGCTCTAGTGGTAGATCACCAGTGTCTTGAGCATAAAAGCTCAGAGGTGGTGCCTAGGCCCTGAGTTCAAGCCCCAGACCTGGCATAAATTAAATAAAGGTAAATAAGCTCAGCATGGGTAGATCACAACTATAATCCTAGCTACTCAGGTGGCTGAGATCTGAGGATCTGAGGTTTGAAGTCAGGTCAGATAGGAAAATCTCTGACACTTATCTATTATCTATTAACTACCAGAAAATTGGAAATGGAACTGTGGCTCAAGTGGTAGAGTACTAGCCTTGAGCAGCAAAAGCTCAAGGACAGTGGCCTATGACAGTGGCGTTATGACTGAAATAAATAAATAAATAAATGTAAATACCTGTGTGATGGATCAAAGTATATCAGAGGGAAGCTTTAAGAATTGGTGCCTTTGGGCTGGGAAAGTGGCTCAGTGGTAGAGCACTTGGCTTGTAATGCATGAGGCCCTGGGTTCGATTCCTCAGCACCACATAAGAAAAAAGCCGGAAGTGGCACTGTGGCTCAAGTGGTAGAGCACTAGCCTTGAGCTGAAGAGCTGAGGGACAGCGCCCAGGCCCAGAGTTCAGGCCCCACGACCAGACCCAAAAAAAAAAAAAAAAAAAAAGAATTGGTGCTTTTTAATTTCTTTTGTCAGTCATGGAGCTTGAACTCGGCCTGGACACTGGCCTCCTGAGTTCCTTTGCTTAAGGCTAGTGCTCTGCCACTTTGAGCTACAGCACCACTTCCAGATTTAGAGTCTCATGGGGACTTCTCTTCCTCAGGCTGGCTTAGAATCATGATTCTCAGATCTCCGCCTCCTTGGGTAGTCAGGATTACAGGGGTGAGCCACTGGTCCCTTTTGTTAATAAAACACATAGGAGGTAGAGATTTCTACTCTTAGTGATAAAGACTTATTTATGTTATCATGTCTGTAAGATTGTTTATTTGAAACATTCCAATAACAGTAGGTCTGTGAAAAACCCTAGGAAGTTCAAAATGCATTATCATAGTACATAGTAGTATATGCAAAAAAGTGCAGATACAGAAATGTGTTTGAAATTTTTTGCTTGCCTGGGAATAAAATTCATATGTAAAGATCTTTTTCTTATCAATTATGATTTTTTTTTCTGGTTTGTCATGGGCTGGAACTCAGAGCTTGGATACTATCCTTGAGCTTTGTTGCTCAAGACTAGCACTCTTCAGTTATAGCTCCACTTCTGTTTTTCTGGTGGTTAATTGGAGATAAGAGACTCATTGACTATCCTATCTAGGCTGGCTTTGAACTATGATCCTCAGATCTCAACCTTCTGAGTAGCTAGGATTACAGGAATGAGCCACCAGTGCCTAAAGTCAATCATGATTTTTAAGCCCTCTCTGAAGGACCCATGTTTTAGGAAATAAAAATGAAATTCTAAAGCTGGGTATGGTAGCACAATCCTTTGATCCCAGCACTTAGTAGGTGGAGGTAGGAGGATCACAAGGCCAGCTGATACATATACATCAAAACTTGTCTCAAGATAAAAAAAAGCCTCAGTCTTGGGGCTTGAACTCGGGGCCTGAGTGCTGTCTCTGAGCCCCTCTGTGCTCAAGGCTAATGCTCTCCCACTTGGGACACAGCACCACTTCTGGCTTTTTCTGTTTATGTAGTACTGAGGAATCAAACCCAGGGCTTCATGAATGCAAGGCAAGCACTCTACTATTGAGCCACCTTCCCAGCCCCAAAAGATATACTCTTAAACTAGCTTTACTTCCTATTGCAGAAAATAGCAATGTACACAGAGTTAGAATAAGGACTATCTATGTGCCTTCCTATTGGGGTTTATACTTTTTTATTATATTTTTTTGTCAGTTGTGGGGCTTAAACTTTGAGCCTGGACACTGTCCCTCAGCTCTTCAGCTCAAGGCTAATGCTCTACCACTTGAGCCATAGCGCCACTTCTGGTTTTCTGAGTGGTTTATTGGAGAGTCCCACGGACTTTTCCTGCCTGGGCTGGCTTTGAACCTTGATCCTCAGATCTCAGCCTCCTGAGTAGCTAGGATTACAGGCGTGAGCCACCGGTGCCCAGCTTGTTGTGTTATCTTGCCTTAATTATCCCCCAACCTTCTTCCCTGAATTTGGGGGAACAAGAAGGGGAAGAACTGTCCTATTCTTCATTCCCTTCCATTTTATCTTACAACATGACCAAGATATTTAAAGAACAAAAACACAACCATCAAAACAATTTTAGTAAGTTAGTTTACAACTGGTTTTCTTCTTAAATATTGTTTTATTTTTTTTTAATTTATTTTATTTTATTTGTGAACATACTGTACAGAGGGGTTACAATTACACGGGCAGGATAATGCGTACATTTCTTACCAAGCATTGCAGCCTCCTCCTTTGTTTACCCTTCACATCCCTTCCCAGCCTCCCCCCTCCCTCCCCTTAAATACTGTTTTAAAATTACACAAAGAAGGAAGATGCAGTACAACTTTACAAATGGCATTTTTATTCTGTGAAGATCCTTAGTTGATCTTCCCTCAAAATCCTGTTTGTTTTATTCTTTCACCAAATCCTCAAGCCCTAAGGGAAAAGCACTTGCCCAATTTTGCAGTAAACATTATTTTTAATTAATTTATTTATTGTTATTATAAAGGTGATATACAGAGGGATTACAATTATCTGAGTCAGATAATGAATACATTTCCTTTCATTCAATGTCTCTGTTCCCTCAGTTTTTTAAAAATAATTTTTTATTGAGATTGAGTAATTACATAAATTTCACAGTGTTGTGAGATAGTGATACTCAGTAAAAGTCACAAATACATTTTAACCTTCACAAAGCAAATTGTCATTATCATGGTCTATAATGTTTGTGAATCCTGTGAACTTAACAATACAGCTATTTCTTTCACATTGGGTGGTATGTACATTTCTTTCCTTTTGCTTAGTGTAAGCTGTTCCCTCTTTCCCTCTCATTCTCTCCCTCCCATTGCTGCCCTTGAGTTGCTTAGTTTTTTGTTTTTTTTTTTATCAATGTCCAGTGCAGCTGATGGGCCCCTCTGTTGTATATTTTCCGTTTCCCTCTGATTCTGTGCCCTCCTCCTAGCTTGAGCCACAGCGCCACTTCCCGTTGTCTGGTAGTTAATTGGAGATAAGAGTCTCATGGACTTTCTTCTGCCCGGGATGGCTTTGAACCAACATCCTCAGATCTTAGCCTCCTGAGAAGCTAGGATTACAGGCATAAGCCACTGGCACCTGGCTAGTATTTCCTCTTTTAACCTCGTTCTTGCATTTAGCTTTCAGAGACTATATGTTTTGTAATATACCACAGACTATCGGATTAACTCTGGACCACACATTCTCAAAGAGGAAGCACTGCTAGTAGTGCTCAAACTCATCTGTTTTTATAGGAGGCAATATTTCTTTCACTTGATAGACAAAATTTGGGTATAAATTAGGAAACTGAAAAAATGACTTTTAACCACCAATCTGAATACCAAGTAATTTTAAATCTGTCTTTTAACTGTATGTTTATACTATTCTTAGAATATATTTTTAAAATTAATACTTAAGCCAGATGCCAGTGGCTCATACCTGTAATCCTACCTACTCAGGAAGCTGAGATCTGAGGATCACAGTCTGAAGCCAGCCTGGGCAGGAAAGTCCACATGAGACTCTTTATCTCCAATTAACAACCAGAAAACTGGGTGTGGCACTGTGGCTGAAGATCTCAGGGAAAGCACCCAGGCCCAGAGTTCAAGCCCAACAACCGACAAAAAAAAATAAATTAGAATTTTTCTTAAACCTAGAAGCTGCATTCTGGTGGCTCACACCTGTAATCCTAGCTATACAGTTGGCTGAGATTTGAGTCTGTGAGACTCTTATCTCCAGTTACACACACACACACACACACACACGCACACACACACAGACACACACAGAGAGAGGCAGAGGTAGTGCTGTGACTCAAATGGTACAGCACTAGTCTTGGGCACAAAAGCTCAGGATAGCACTTAGGCCACTGACAACAAAAAGCCCTAGACCAGCAAGGCACCAGTGGCTCACGCTTGTAATCCTAATAACTCAGGAGGCTGAGATCTGAGGATCCCACTGTTCAAGGCCAGCCCAGGCAGGAAAGTCTATGAGACTCTTATCTCCAATTGACCACCAGAAAACTGGAAGTGGCACTGTGGCTCAAGTGGTAGAGTGCTCGCTTTGAGCTGAAGAGCTGAGGGACAATGCTCAGGCCCAGAGTTCAAGCCCCAGGACCAACCAAAATTTTTTTTAAAAGCCCTAGACTAAAGCATTCTGCTATGTTGGAGTTTTTTTTTTTTTTGGTTGTGGGGCTTAAACTCTGGGCTTGGGCAGTGTCCCTAAACTCTTCAGCTCAAGGCAAGCACTCTACCACTTGAACCACAGCACCACTTCCAGTTTTCTGGTGGTTAATTGGAGATGAGAATCTCATGGAGTTTCTTGCCCAGATTGGCTTCAAACCATGATCCTCAGATCTCAGCCTCCTGAGTAGCTAGGGTTATAGGCATGAGCCACCGCGCCTGGCATGAGTTTTGTATTTATTCAGCTAGATTCTTTCTCTTCTTCCATCATCTTCTTAGAATAGGGTTTCCACTTAAGTTTGTCGTAACTGCTTCAGGCATGATCTAAGGTACAGAGTTTGTCTCAATTGGGACACTCACAGGATGGACATGTTCTGCTTAATTAAAATATTCAGAGCTGTGTGCCTGAGCTAGCAGCTCCCACTGGCTTGCTGAAGCATTTGCTACTTTTAGAATCTCTTGTGAGCTGCTTGTTAAAACAGCCAGTGTGAATAATTAAATGCATAGATGCACACAGATTGCATTCAAAAGAACACCAGGACTCAAAGTTCATTGTTCCTGATGCGTTTTCTCTGTGCTCTGTAGGTTGCATGCATCCCTTGTCTGTATGCTCCTTTTTGTCTCTCACCAACTGTATACTCAGTGACATATTTATTGAGTCATTGTCCAAGTATTCCCATTCTGGGAATCAGTGCCCCCCATTTGCTTTTCTGTAAATATTCACTAGCACATTTCTGATTTGAAGAAATCAGTCAAGAAGCCTTTCAAGAAAACTTGACTAAAATATTTGTTTTCCTTTTTTCTTTTTTTCTTTTTTGCCAGTTGTGGGGCTGAACTCTGGGCCTGGGCGCGCTGTCCCTCAGCTCTTCAGCTCAAGGCTAGCACTCTATCACTAGAGCCACAGCACCACTTCTGGCTTTTTCTGCTTTATGTGGTGCTGAGGAATTGAACCCAGGGCCTCATGCATGCAAAGCAAGCGCTCTACCACTGAGCCACTTTCCTAGCCCTTGTTTTTCTATCTTAAATGTGGAAAGCATACTGAAATATTCATGTCTTGGTCCCAAATGGTGAAGAACATCTTTGATAAATTCCTATAACGCTCAGAATAATCCTCTTCAACATAACAAAATAATCCTTATTGATATCTAAAAAATAAGTCACTAGCTGGATGCTGGTGGCTCATGCCTATAATCCTAGCGACTGAGGAGGTTGAAATCTGAGGATCACAGCTCAGATCCAGCCTGGGCAAGAATGTCTGTGAGACACTTATCTCCAATAAACTACTTAGAAAAAGCCAGAAGTGGACCTGTGGCTCAGGTGGTAGAGCACTAGCCTTGAGCAAAGGAAGCACAGGTACACACACACACACACACATACACACACACACACACACACAGAGTATGTCCCTCCTTACAGTTTAATTTTAGCCACATATGTACTTGCAACTTGTTTATATACACTCGCACAATTGTGTTTGGCTGCAGCTGCCACAGGTGACATGCCCACTTACCAGATCCGGGCCCCTACTACTGCATTGCCACAGGGCGTAGTGATGGCCGCCTCACCAGGAAGTTTGCACAGCCCCCAGCAGCTAGCGGAAGAAGCAACACGGAAACGGGAGCTGAGGTTAATGAAAAACAGGTAAGATGTTGCCCTGGAAATGAGACCACTTCTAGGATACACAGTATACCACTGGGGACTTTAAAAAAGTTATACTTTTGTGTGTGTATGTGTGTATGTGTGAGAGAGCGAGAGACAGAGACAGAGACAGATAGACAGACAGAGACAGAGAGACGTACCAGTACTGGGGCTTGAACTCAGGGCCTCATACTCTCACTTAGTTTTTCTGTTCAAGGCTGGTACTCTACCACTTAAGCCACATCTCTACTTCCAGCTTTTTGCTGTTTAATTGGAGATGAGTCTCTAGAATTTATCTGCTTAAGATGGCTTCTAACCAAAATTCTGAACCCTCAGCCTCCTGAGTAGCTAGGATTACAGGTGTGAGCCACCAGGACCCAGCTTAAAAGTTATACTTTTGCTAAAAGCTTTTTCTCCCAAATTCAGTGTTATGTGCACAACATGTCAGGATTAATATGCTTGCCTTCAGGTTAGAGTGCCTGGCCGTTCAACTTTCACCTTAGCTGGTAAGGTATACTTTTTCTAGATTAAGTTGTTGTGCAAAGAGATTACAATTCTGTAAGTCAGGTTATGAACGCAGTACATCTTGGTCACCATGTCGCCCCTTCCATCATTCTCCTCCTATCCCTACCTTCAAGTTAATATAGTGAAAATTTTCACATGATGTACAGTGAACATAATGGCCGAATTTGTTCAGTTTTCCTCCCTCCCTTTGTGTGTGCCCTCACTTGGTGCTCTCCCCTGCCTCCCCCACCAACCTGTTACTACTACTTCCTGGTTTCTTTTTTGGGGGGAAGTGGGGCTTGAACTCTGGGCCTGGGAACTGTCCTTGAGCTCTTCAGCTTAAGGCCAGCGCGCTACCACTTGTGCTACAGCACCACTTCCAGTTTTCTCATGTTTAATTGGAGATAAGAGTTTCATGGACTTTCCTTCCCTGGGCTGGCTTTGAGCCATGATCCTCAGATCTCAGCCACCTGAGTAGCTAGGATTACACGTGTGAGTCGCTGGTGCCTGGCCTGGTGTTCATTTTTTTTTTTTTTTAAGCAGTTTACATGTTGTTCAGAGGAGTTATACCTTTCAATTCCTCCCCTAAGTATGGCATCTTTTAGTCAGTTTGTTTGAGTCACACCAACTTTTTAAAACAATAATAGACCTTAGTTACAAGTTGTGGTAAGTATAATGTTAGCTTCTTTACTAGCCAGATAAATTTGTTAAAATTTTAAGTCTTATACTTTTATCTGTTTTGTAACTATGTATTTTTCACTGTTATGAATTAGCTATAATTCTGACAAATTCTAGTCAAATGCAGATCCAAAATAACAAAAAGAATTAAACTCACCCATCCCTCCATCTCTTAGCCACCTGCCAAAGTTATATATAGGATGTATCCTTCTAGTCTGTTCTCTTGTCATTTTCTCTCATTTCTTGTTCCATAGATCTGTTCTTTTATTTTATTTTGCCAGTCCTGGAGCTTTAACTTGGCCTGGGCACTGTTCCTGAGCTTCTTTTGCTCAAGGCTAGCACTCTACCACTTGAGCCACAGTGCCCCTTCCAGCTTTTTCTGTTTATGTGGTACTGAGGAATCCAACCTAGGACTTTGTGCATGCTAGGCAAGCACCCTACCACCAAGCCACATTCCCAACCCTGTAATTTTATTTTTAAGTATCAGTATTTCATAAAATGCTGTTTTCCAGAAATTTTAAATTAAAACAAACATTTATTTAGCTTATTTTACATATTTTTAGTTTGGTTCTGGAGAATGGTATAAATAAATTTAATTTGCAAAATGAACTAATTGTCTACACAGTAGTAAGAAAACAAAACATTTCACATCGCCTGCTAGCTCTTCCCAGAAACCCCTACAGTAAGGCCCTGTCTCAAAAAGAAATCTTTAACTTTGACCTGATGGAGGAAAATGGATTGGTTAAAATTGTTTTTGTGCTGTTCTTGGGGGCTTGAACTCAGAGCCTGGGCACTGTCCCTGAGTTTTTTGCTCAAAGCTAATATTCTACCACTTCAGCCACAGCTCCACTTCTATTTTTTTGCTGGTTAGACAGAGATGAGTTTCAAGACTTTCCTACCTGGATTGGCTTCAAACTGTGATCCTTAGATCTCAGCCTCCTGAGTAGCTAGGTTTATAGGCTTGAGCCACAAGTGTACAGCTCAAGTTGTTTTTTAATTGAAACCCCCTTGTACAACTACTTTAAGATTAAAAATATTTTTAAGTCCAAAATAAAAAGTTGTGCTTTTTGAGATTTCAGGAGCTATGAATGTAATTTGCCTTCTAGTCATCAAATGTATGAAGTTCACTGCAGAAATGTGAAGAAATGTGTAAATGCAAAGTGTAAAATTGTTCAATGATGTTTTGCTTTGCTCAGAGAAAATACAAAGAAGAAATAGGTCCTAGTTTGATTTCCCTTTTGCCAATATACTCATTTTAGATTTCAGTGTTTACAGTAGAAATGTCTATACATAAGTGAGGTCTCTCTGAGGGAAAAATTATAAAATTTTATATTACAAATCTAATCGATAATGATTAATTGGCATTTGTATTTAGCTCTAAAATAATCAGAGGCTTAAGCTTGAAGGTGAATTTTGAGTCTCAGGGAACAAAGGCTCCTGTGGGGAGCTGGAGGCCCCCGCTTCCTCCCTGCTGTCTCCTTGAGCGGTTCCATGTATTCTTCAGAACACAACACTGCTGCTTCTCCTCACTGCAACAGGCCAGAAAAAAAGAGAATGGCCAAGCCCAAACTTGCACTGGCTAGAAATAGCTCCCTAGTCCCTAATTGCAAGAGATGGTGAAAGACTGATTTTTGCTTTCCAAACCGCAATTTTAGACCAACACAAGAGAAAGGGGGCTAATAGTTGCCTAGAATCTGTTTAGCAGGTTTTAAGTGCTTTATTTTATAAAATTTTATTTATTTATTTATTTTTGTCAGTCATGGGGCTTGAAGTGTGGGCCTGCCTGCTATCCTTGAGCTCTAGCACTCTACCACTTGAGCCACAGTGCCACTTCCGGTTTTCTGGTGGTCAACTGGAGATAAGAGTCTCACAGGGACTTTCCTGCTCAGGCTGGCTTCAGACGGTGATCCTCAGATCTCAGCCGCCTGAGTAGGTAGGATTACAGGCGTGAGCCACTGGCGCATGGCTGATGTTTTTATTTTTGGAGACAACATTTTGCTATCCACCCCAGGCTAAGCCTAGAACTTTTTCTTGGTTCTCTTGACTCAGCCTTAGGAGTGCTGGGATTATAGGTGTCTGCTGCCATACCCAGCTTCTGTTTCTGTTTCTGTTTTTTTTTTTTTTTAAAACCTCTTCTGTAACTTTCCTGTGAGTTTCATTTAGGTTATTATTTTTGCAGATGAGGAGCATAGGTTAGAAAAGATTACTTAATGAGCTGGCCAAGATCTATGATATGTAATCAGGATGTGTGTGTGTGTGTGTGTGAGTGTGTATGAGTATGTGTGTGGTGGTGGTGATGGTGGTGGTTTGAACTTGGGGCTTTGTGCTTCCTAGCAGGTGCTCTATAACTTGAGCCATGGCCCAAACCCTTTTTTCAGATAGGGTCTTATGCTTTTTTCCTGGAGCTGGCCTGGGTTGCAATCCTTCGACCTTTACCTCCCACATAACTGCAGTTACAAGCATGTGCTACCACTCGTTTGTTTTTTGAGGTCGTGTCTCACTACTGTTTTGCTGACACTGGCCTCAAAACTGTGATCCTCCTATCTTCACTTCAGAATCAGGGAGTCTGTATTCCAGAGCCTGCCTGACTCTAGCACTAAGGTTATCTCAAAAGGCTATAAGTTTCACACTTCATGGGAAATATGTAGGTCTTATAATTACCATGAAGAATCATTGATTTAGTCTAGATACATTGGCTGGCATCTAGAATAAGATATTTAATTAATTTCTACCAACACAGCAATTTATTTATTTTCAGCATGGTCACATTTTCCTCTTTGCCATGTATTTTCCTCTCCACGCTGAGGGTAGATGCCTTCAACTACAAGACCTGAAAACTGAGCTGCCTATTAATAGAAGAGACAGGTGTTTTCCATAGTGAAGAAGCCCTCAGGAATGTGTCCAGTGGTCTGTGCAATAATGATTGCTTTGTACTCGCAGTGGTTCACCTCTTAGAGACATACATGCAAATGCACACACACAAGTAAAATATAAAGTATGGACACTTAACAAAAACAAAACAACATAGCAATTAAACTTAAAAATCGAAGACCTTATAACACTGCTACTAGGTATTTAAATCTTCATTTCATGATAACTGGTTTTGTTGAATGACTATCTTCCTTCTAATAGAGAATTTAATGACATAATCATGGTATTCATAAATGCATTTTTATTTCACTGTGGAAGAGATGAATTATTTCCTTAAGCTAGAATATTTGCTTGTTTGGATTTATTCTTAGCTTCTTCCTGTGCATCATTTAGATTAGTTTTTCCAGGTTTAACTCACTTTTCCTCTTTTTTTTTTTTTAATGTTAATCAGTTGAAAGGCCTATAACTTTGTGAGTTCACAGGGTGAGTGCATTGCTCTTGGCTGGAAAGTAGGGGCTGTTTCCTGCAGTTCACAGGATTCCAATTTCTTTTCTGCGAACTCTTGCTCCTCATAAAGAAAACACAGATCACTAGTCAGTGAGTGTCAACTATCCTTAACATAGAACATTTGGGCAAATCTGTTGTGTGTGTCACAGTTCAGGATTGTAGCAAGTCTAACTGGAATTACACTAACTCATTTAGCCATGTAACATTACTTTTGTGGGAAAAATAGACTCTGAAATAAAGCTGTTTCAGAGGGAATCTTCCATAAAGGATTTAAACAAGAGTTTACCTCTCCCTACCCTTAACAAAAAGGTAAAGGAAAAAACATTGGCAATCCTAATTGTGTTTTTGGTGGAATTGTGCATAAATATGACTAACTCTTCTATTTATCTCTGTCTGTCATTTCAGTCTGTTTGGCTGCTTATATAGTGCTTTAAAATTTCACTCCTGAATATTGTTTAGCATCTGCATATTTTAATGCATATGTTTACAGAATAGTCTTGAAATGTGCTCTTGAGTTATTCAATAACTTCTTTTTCTGTAATCATAATTGTGGTATTCTCATATTTGTGGACTTAAATGGTCTGAATTACTAAGTGCTGTATTATGTGACCTGTTCTTTAATTTTTAGAAGCAGTGCCCATGTCATTTTCATTTTTAAGAATGTACATGTTTTTTTTTGTTTGTTTGTTTTGTTTGTTTGTTTTTTGTCTTTTTTTGGTAAGTCGTGGGACCTGAACTCTAGGCCTGGGCCCTGTCCCTCAGCCCTTCAGTTCAAGACTAGTGCTCTACCACTTGAGCCACAGCACCACCTCCGGCTTTTTCTGCTTACGTGGTGTTGAGGAATTGAACCCAGGGCCTCATGCATGCAAGGCAAGCGCTCTACCACTGAGCCACCTTCCCAGCCCAACATGTTATGTTTATTGTTGTAATTTATTCATGTTGTGCTTTCTAGCAAAAAAAAAAAAATTCCCACCAAACTAAAAAACTGTTTCTTGCAGTCTGATGATTGATCTTGTTTTACTGAGATTTAATCTTGAAGAATAAAACATCTTCAATATTAATATTAAAGTTTTCTCGAGATTAATTCTTATAGTTATTTTAACCAAATAAAAAGTGCTCATTGTGATGGAGTAGGTGGCTTGGGAAAACAATGAATAACGGATAGGACTGAAAGGACATATAGGTGTGTTTGTAGAAATTCCACTTGAGAATTTGGTCCTATTATTGTTTACCAAACACAGTTTTGGCTATTGTTATGGGATACGTACCCCAAGAAAACACCAGTTGGGCTAATGGATTGTTCTCTGTTGTCTTACAAGAAGGCCCATGCATGGTTCTATTTGTTGTGTGGCTTTGTCCAAACCTTTCCTAGGACTGACTGGCTGTTGAAATGGGGACAGAGGTTCACTGAGCCCCTCTGGAGTGCACTGGGAAGTTGTTCCTGTAGTCATTTGCCTTGTGTTGGTTCCAGGGAAGCTGCCCGGGAGTGTCGCAGGAAGAAGAAAGAATATGTCAAATGTCTTGAAAATCGTGTGGCTGTGCTTGAAAACCAAAACAAGACCCTCATTGAGGAACTCAAGGCCCTCAAAGATCTTTATTGCCATAAAGCAGAGTAACTGTCTCTGACCTTGTTTACTGGGAACTCTAACCAAGGCAGGCGATGCAGCGGTCCTTCTAGTCACCAGTGTGGACTTGTGGAAGGGACATTTGTGACCCTTAAGAATCCAGTTTGTCTGAGTGTGTGAAATTGAATTGGGAATATTGTTCCAAGATTTGGAGTACGTTTCTGATCACATTTACCAAGATTACTTCCACATATTTGTCAGTAGCATGCAAAAACAACAAAAACAATGTTTGTTTGCCCTTATGCCTCTACTTTTTCCAGGGAAGCTGCTAAAGAATGTCGACGTCGAAAGAAAGAATATGTGAAATGTCTGGAAAGTCGAGTTGCAGTGCTGGAAGTTCAGAACAAGAAGCTTATAGAGGAACTTGAAACCTTGAAAGACATTTGCTCTCCCAAAACAGATTAGTAGAAATATTTAACTATGAACTGACTACAGCATGTACAGTTGCTTTTTTGAAAGCAATACAATATATAGCCGGCAAGAATAATGGCTTTTTCTTTGTATTATTCATCTTCCTTTCTCATCTCTTAACATTCCTAAAATGCTTCACTGTACGTACTTAACTCTTAGCCCAAACTACAATTTTTAAAAAGAGAGAAACTGTAAAAAAAAAAAAAATGTATGTAAAAATTCTTGAAATATTTGTAAGACTTGTTCCAATGCGACATATTTGCAGTTCCCAACTTCTGTGTCATAAATAGTGTCCTTTGCAATAAAATTTCACACAGATCTTAAAAAAAAAATCATTTTAGGAAAGGATGATCAAAGATGCATCCAGCAGTACAATAAATCAAACCACAAAAATACCTCAGGAAATAATGGAAAGTCTATCTAATTATATGCCTATATGACAAGAATAGCCTAGGAATGAATTTATGGCATTTATAGATTTTTATATTAGTGGCTTTGTAAAGAAACTATTGTATTGCTGTCCTTTAATGCCGTAAAGACATTTTTTTAATAGAACCATGTCAGTTGTATTTTTGTAGTATTTGGTACTTATTTAAATATCTGAACATTTATTCTTCATCTTGTAATATAACCAGTCTTGTAGAGGTTCTTAGAGTTGATTGATAATACCCAAAGAAAGGGACATCAAGCCTACTGGGACAGTACTGCAGACATTCAAGGGTACAAGCCAAGTCTGATACCGGGTCATGATCTGGTTGATGCCCCACCATCTCAGAATGACTACCCCAGGGCCAGGATTGCATGTCTGGCTAGCATATTCAAGGCCCCATTTCCAGCCCCAGCACTGCAAAACAAATGGTGTGTGTGTGTGTGTGTGTGTGTGTGTGTGTGTGTGTGTCATAGGGCTTGAACTCAGGGCCTGGGTACTGTCCTTGCGCTTTTGTGCTCAAGCCTAGAACTTTACCACTTGAGCCGCAGCTCACTTTCAGCTTTGCTGGTAAATTGGAGACAAGAGTCTCATGGACTTTCCTGCCTTTGAACTGTAATCCTCAGATATCAGCCTTCTAAATAGCTAGGATTATAGACATAAACCACTGGCACCTGGCAGTTTTGGCTTGCTGTCCTCTCCTCCTCCTCTCTCTCTCTCTCTCTCTCTCTCTCTCTCTCTCTCTCTTTTGGCAAGTCCTGGGGCTTGAATTCAGGGCCTGGGCACTGTCTCTGAGCTTCTTTTTGCTTAAAGGTAGCATTCTACCACTTGAACCACAGTGCCACTTTTGGCTTTTACGTAGTACTGAGTAATCGAACCCAGTGTTTGCTAGGCAAACACTCTACTACTAAGTCAATGTTCCCAGCCCAGTTTTGGCTTTCTTTAAAAATACTTTTTCTGGGGCTGGGAAGGTGGCTCAGTGGTAGAGCGCTTGCCTTGCATGCATGAGGCCCTGGGTTCGATTCCTCAGCACCACATAAGCAAAAAGAAAAAAGACAGAAGTGGCGCTGTGGCTCAAGTGGTAGAGTGCTAGCCTTGAGCTGAAGAGTTGAGGGACAGTGCCCAGGCCCAGAGTTCAGGCCCCACGACCGGACACCCCCCCAAAAAAAAAAAAAAAGTTTTTCTGGCTGGCACCAGTGGCTCATGCCTGTAATCCTAGCTACTCAGGAAGCTGAAATTTGAGGATTGCAGTTCAAAACCAGCCCAGGCAGGAAAGTCCATGAGACACTTCTCTCCAATTGACCAGAAAACCAGAAGTGGAGCTGTGGCTCACGTGGTAGAGTGTTAGCCTTGATCTGAAGAGCTCAGGGACATTGACCAGGCCCAGAAACTTTTTCTGTGTTCTGTATTTTCTTTTTTCAGACCATTTTCATGAGTTCTGAATTTCTTTTATAATCACTTTTGGTCTTTGATGGAGGAAAGGAGACATGGAAGAAACAGGAAAGGAAAAGCCCCAGGTTTCAGTGAGAAATGTTTTGTTAGTCACTATAAAGCAATCTTGTGTTCAGTGGTAGACCAGGAGAGGGAGATTCAGTCAAGAATTAGGGATTAAGAAATTTCATGTCAGAGGTCTCTTCAGAGCTGAGCCTTAGAGTGATTGACAGTGCTGGAAGGAGGTTACTTTGGACAGGGAGTACTCCAAGGAACTTGGGTCTGGAAGTCTAGAGGGAGGTAAAGTTAGCATTCACACAAGAACATGTTTCCAGCCATGCACTACTAGAGGCTCATGCCTGTAATCCTAACTACTTGGGAGACTAAGATCTGAGGCTCATGGTTCAAAGCCAGCCCTGGCAAGAAAGTCTATGAGACTCTTATCTCTAACTAACCACCAAAAAGCTGAAAGTGGAACTGTGACTCAAGTGATAATAGAGTGCCAGCTAAGGGGCAGTGCCTAAGCCCTGAATTCAAGCCCCAGGATTTGCACCAAAAAGCAAAACAACAACAACAAAAACTAACATAAAATAAGAGTAGGTTTTGCTTTAAAATGAAAGACAAGAACTATGTATATATTCTCTCTATATACTATATATACTGTATATACTTTATAAAATGTGTTATTTCAGAAATAGGAGGCTCTACCCACTAGTTCAGTAACAGAAGTCCCCCTTCCCAAGCTCAATGGTTTGAATAAGAAATATTACTGCCTCCCAAAATAGGATGTCCAGAGATAGGAGATGACAGGATTCATTACTTCAGTGAGTGACTTAATGATGATACACGTTTCTTCCTACCTTTTCTGGCCTCTCTGTTCTCTGGTCCATGAGCTTAATATTGTTGCCACAGTTCCAGGCAGGAGACATGGAAAAGGAGCCATCTTACCCTTCATTTCTTTTAAAACCTATTTTTTATTTTTTTGCTTGGTCTGGTCATGTAGCCCAGGCTGGCATTTGAACTGTCAATTCTCTTTTCTTTCCTGCTGAATGCTGGATAGGTGTTCATCACTATATTCAGCTTGTTCTGTTTTTATGAGCAAAGAAAACTCAGCCAGTAGCTCTTTCATAGGACATTCCCAGGGTCTCCCTAGTGAGATGTTTTGAAAACTTCGTTGCCTAACATCACTGTTGAGAAGAGCGGACTGGAGAGTACTGGGGGTGATAAGGAAGGTCCAGCCTGGAGCTGGGGAAGGTTTCAGGCTAAAAAGAAGCATATGGTCACCAGTGTTAATAAAATAAAAAGTACTGAGAGAACAGTGTTTAGGCAACTGGCATTGTCTGCTGTGGTTGATGAGCGTGTGCTTAAATGTTTTAGGAAGTTACGAACAGATTGCATGAGGGTTGGGAATCAGGTGAAGCTCTCAGATGTGCATAGAAAATCTTGTTCATCTAATTTGTTCCTGAAATTACCAAAATAACATGATTTGGTAGCTCTCCACTCAGTTTATTTACAATCAATACTGCTTATAGCCTCCCCGTGAACAGAGCAAGCAGTAAGTTGGAAGCTTTCCATGAACTTTGTATCATGTCCCTCAGTGTTGTCTGAAAGCCAGAGCTGTCACTGCATGCATCTGTATTTTCTCTTAATCCTAAAAGTTTCAGAATTTGAACTGAGACATAGAATTAGTCATCATGAGCTAGATGCTCATATATACATACATATATATATATGTATATATATATACACACACACACACAGATGTATGTGTATATGCATGTGTGTATGCATGTGTGTATGGATTTGTGTGTGTGTGTGTGTGTGTGTATAATGCCTGTATACCCCGAGCTACTTAGGAGGCTGAGATCCAGAGAACTGAGATCAAAGCCACATTTTTTTTTTTCTGCAGGTCCTGAGGTTTGAACTCAATGCCTGAGCACTGTCCCTGAGTTCCTTTTGCTCAAGGCTAGCACTTTATCAGTTGAGCCACACCACCACTTCTGGGTTTTTCTGTGTATGTGGTACTGAGGAATCAAACCCAGGGCTTCATGCATGCTAGGCAAGCATTCTACTACTAAGCCACATTTAACATTTAAAATTTTTTAATTTTTTTAAAAATTAATTTTATTGTAAAGGTGATGTACAGAGGCGTTACAGTTATGTAAGTAACGAGTACATTTCTTTTCAAACAGTGTTACCCCCTCCCTCCTTTACTCCCACTTTCCCTTTCCCCAGACTCTCCTTCCCCTTGATAGATTTCTTGATTACAAGAAGTGCCATTCCCCTCCTCCTCTCCCCCTTTCCAAACCAGTCCCAGAACGTTTCCTTGTACCATTTCACACATGTGTATTAAGTATTGGTTTATATTTGTCTTCTTCCCTCCCCCTCCTCATTATCTGTTCCCCTCCCAGTAATGCCTTTATACCAGACACATTCACTTTTGTTAAAAGTATATATAATTGTATAAGGAAGTCTCATCATGGTGTCTTACATGTGCATATACTGTAGTTTAGTCAGATTGATCTCACACACATACATAAGTACATATGATCCTGTGTGTGTGTGTGTGTATGTGTGTGTGTGTGTGTGTGTGTGTGTGTGTGTGTGTGTGTGTGCGCGTGCGCGTGTGTGTAGTCTAATGTGCTTATTAGGGAAAACATCATTTGTCTTTCTGAGTATGGCCGATTTTACTTAATTTGATGGTTTTCAGGTACACACATTTTTCAGCAGATGACGTTTTTATTCTTATTGATGGCTGAATAATATTCCATTATGCATCACAGTTTTTTCATTCACTCTCATCAGTTGTATCTAGGCTGTTTCTATACCTTTTTAGATTTTTGTGAGGAGCCTCATACTGATTTCTATAATGGTTGCAATAGTTTATATTCCCACCAACAGTATATTAAGGTAATATTTTCCCCTGCATCCTTGCCAACATTTTTTCTTGTCTGTTTTAGATATTTTTGATTTTGAGATGGTCTGTGTAACCCAAGCTGTCCTCAAACACATGGTCATTCTGCTTCTACTTCTCAAGTATTGGGATTGCAGGCCTCTGAGCTAACATATCTTGCTTTTAAATGTATTTTTAATGCAAAGCTTTTTTTTCCTTCTCATTCTGGGTATTGAAATGAGGGTTTTGTATATGTTAGACTCGTGCTCTGCTGCTAAACCATATCCCCAGACATCAGTATTTGTTTTTTGCCCTTTCTGAGGCTTGAACTCTAAACCTGGGTGTGGTCCTTGGGCTCCTTTTAGTGCTCTACCACTTGAGCCACAATTCTGGCTTTTTCTGTGATTAATTGGGGATAAGAGTCTCACGGACTTTCCTGCCTCGTCTGGCTTCCAACTGCAATCCTCAGATTGCAGCCTCCTGAGTAGTTAGGATTACAGGCATGAGCCATTGGTGCCTGACACTCAGTATTTTTTAATACAGTATGCTTTATTGTCCAGAAATCTATTTGCCAATTGAGTGCTATGATTATGATAGGATTAAACATTTTTTTTCAGGGCTATTCTCTCCACACACACTTAATTGTGGGTCTAAAAAATGATGAAAGAAAAAAGAAAAGTGAAATTGTGCTCTTATACCAGATTGTATTTGCTCAAATAAAATGAACCCATGTGATTTCTAAGTCAGTCTTAATTTTCAATAGCAGGCAGAGGGCCTTTTTCCCTCCTATTCATGTTCCTCCTCATTCTCTTCCTGATCCTC